CATTTTAGGAAGCAGCTCTGGAAGTTCTCTTTCATTTATCTTTATGAGGTGTGATAAAAAACAAAATGCTTCGCTGAGTCCAATCCAATAGAAAGGTAGGTTTGTAAAAACATTACGATGAGTCCTCATTCACCTTATTCGTAAGATCTGGCACTGTGAGACTTCTGGCTGTTCTCCAAAGTCAAAATGATTATGAAAGGTAAACATTTTGACTGGATGCAGGACATCAAGGCAGCCATGACAGCACAGTTAAAGACATTCACGAAAGTCTTCCAGAACTGCTTCAGAAAGTGGCTAGATGGGATAAGTGTATTTAAAGTGAGGGGTTTAATGACAATGTGTCTCTTACTGAAAAAATTATAAACATTCACTGCATTTTCAGGCATACTTTGTACATTATTCTTTCAAATCCTCAGTTAAAAGCTTCAGGTACTTAGAATGTTTACAAGGTCACAGATGATCTGGCCTTCTAGTATCCCTGACCTCATCTACCATTGCTCTTGTTCTTTTTCACTTGGCTCCAGCCACACACACATTCTTGCTGTTCCTCGAAAATATTTCTACTTACTAGCCCAGCACTCACTGTTCCAAATGGACATGCTTGGAATGCTCTTCGCTAGTAACCCTGATGAATGACACTATCATTTCCTTCAGTCACTTCAGTGATGCCTTCTTTCACCATCCTATTTAAAACTGAATCCCTTCTCCCTAACATGCTCTTCTCAGCATTTCCTCTCCAGCTTTCTATTCCCATTTTTTCTCCAAAGACTTGTAATTTTGCCTAGTTTTCTGGCTCCACTCATTTCCATATGAGTTTTTGTCAGTTTTGCTTGCTATGTTACCCCTAGCACCTAGAAGAGTAACTGGCACACAGAAGTAGCCAATATTTGGATGATTAAGTCCAGCCAATTTTCATTGGGTTCTGGTTAAATTTATAAGTCTGTTCTTAAAAAGTGATGACCATAATTCAAGGTTTAAAGAGTATATTCCTGTCATTTACTTCTTGCTTGCCTTTTGTCTCTTTCCTGATTATAATAACTTTTTTGAGGGGGGCATGTTAGGACTATTTCTCTTTTCCTCTGTATCAACTGATAATGCTGCTAACCACAGAGCTTTTATTCACCTTTGCCTGGAAAGGTGGCTAAGGGTAAGGACTGCCAATCAGTACTCCATTTCCAGGGAAAAAGAGATTAATTAGTTCAAAGGATAAGAAGGGTGAATTTTCTGGGATTTACGTAGTGAATGTTGGAATTAGAGAAAGCATTTCTTTCCTCTAGGGGTATTAGCCATTCATGGTTAAGTTTCCTACACTAGCTACATAAAAGAAACTCATTGCTAGTAAGAATGAGATCAGTGAACTGAGAGATTACACCCAGTTATGGGTGTCATTCTTGCCAAAGGTCAATTATGCCTCTGAGCTTCCTGGAAACTTGAGCCACTATATCCCAACCACTATCCCAACCCAATCTCCTAACCTCTCCAGTTTACTTGTAAATTGATAAGCATTGAATAATGTGCTTATTCTATAGTATAATTTTGTCTGCCCCCAAACAAACATCTCTTGTTGGGTTGATAAGAATCCACTAAAATGTTTTTGTTTTTTTCCTTTGAGGTGAAATCAGCTTCACTTTTAACTCATCTGATTATGAACTTTTGCAACCCAATTTCAGAGATTAAAATCTTCCAGTTAGTTGTTTTTCAGATAAGGGGGTGGAATGAGCAGTATACTTCCAACACAGCTAGAGATTTCTCACTTCCTATTGATAACTACTTCTGCTCCTAATACCCTTAAAATTTTTTTTCTTCTCAATTTCTAATTCCACTTCTACCCCGGAGATTTAGTCAGTAATTCCCTTATCTTATTTTATATCATCTCTTGGGAATGATTGTTAAAAAAGACAGGTGCTAGGCTCTATCTGCAGTTTGTGTCAACAGGTCTGGGGTGGGGCCAGATAATTTGCATTCTTAACCAACTCTCAGATGATGCTGATACAGTTGATTTCAGGATAACTCTGAGAACTACTGATGTAGATTCTTACAAACACTCTTTAAATATACCTTCTCTCTGTTTTTTTTTAAACTCCAGACCAATCTCCCTCTCTTTTTTTATTTTGGTACTGGGGATTGAACTCAGGTCCTTGTGCTTTCAAGGCAGGTGGCAGAACCGCTGAGGTAAATCCCAGCCCTAAATATACCTTCTCTTAATCTGAGGAAGCTTATCTACAGTAACTTGGAGTCCTAGTATATCTAGTCATTTAAATCTTTTCTTTGGTACTGGGGATGGAACTGGGGACCTTGCGCTTGCGAGGCAGGCAGTGGAACCACTGAGCTAAATCCCCGGCCCTAGTCATTTAAATCTTGCAGCAAACAGATGTATATTTTAGATGATTTTATATTTTATAGATTTTATATTTTAGTAGTAGAGTATCTACAGTTTGCTGTGCCCTATTAATGAAACTTGAATGTCAAAGGTAAGAAGGCCTCCAAGTATTTAAGCTTGCAAGAGACCTAGATTTTAGGATATTTGCCTCCCCACACCTGGAGTTGGTAGGCTTTTTTCTCTCTAGCAAGCAGAGTAAGGGGGAAAGGCTACCTTCTCATCAAATGTATGGGAGTGTTGTCTAGCTGCTTGTCCCATAAAATAGTTTTTTATTGTTTTGATTTCCTGATTAATTTGATTTGTCTGTAGGTACTTTTTCTCTGCCAGACAAAGTGTGGTATGACAATATATAATCTTTTAAACTATTACAGGTGCCATCCAATGTTTGCTATGTATAATATATAATCTCCTTTTAAATATCAACATAGGATGTATGTATCTACAATTTGTTCCCACACATAATTTTACTTTTTGAATTGTTTCTATTCAGAAGAGACAAGTGATTCTGTAATGCAGTAGGTTTCAAAATATGGTCCCTAGACAGCAAGCAGCATCAGCGTTTAAGAATGTGATGGAAATGCAAAATTACGAGTCTGACCCTAGACCCTAGTGAATTTGAAGCAGGGCCCAAATTGTGTCTGAACAAGTTCTCCAGGTGACTCCAGGTTAAGAACCACTGTCATAAAGGAACAATGAAGCTAGCTACAAGAAAGATATGCCTACTACACATGTGAATGGCAGTACTATGATCTCTGTTGGAACTACATCATATTTATGGAAGCACATCAATATACTAGATTTGCTTTTCAGGGAAAAAAAGATTTGAAAATAAATGCTACAAAAAATTCAGAGACAAAAAAATGACAATATACATTAGGTATATACAGACCAATAAAAACAATTCTTCTCTAAGAACTGATTCCAAAGTGTTTATTTTGCTCAAGAAACTGGTAGACTTTTTTATATTATAGATATTTCTAATAATCCAGTTTTCCATTTCTGACTAGGTTCTTAGGAGGCTTGGAAAATATTTCACATTTAATTAAAGAAATTTCCACTAGTAGACTTAGGTTTTCTATATGATCTAGTGTGTGTGGTTTTTATGATAAAGAGCTATAAATTATTTTTAGGAAAAGGGTATAGACAAGGTTTTTGAGAGAGCAAGTCTATGACTCAGGAGCAAGTCTAGCATGTAATACATGGTCAATAAATATCTAAAGGAAATTCCTAATCTAGATTTCATCTTTCTCTCCTGCTACTACAGTACTTGGCTCACTTGACTATACCCACATTTACTTTAATGTTTTAAGCATTTGAGAACACCCTATCTCAAGGCCTTTGTTCTGGTTTCCTCTGCCTGGACATGTTTTTCTCCCAGACACCTGAATAGTTTTGCCCAACCTTTCCTGCAACTTTGATTCAAGTTAACTTCTCAGTGAGGCTTTCTCTGATCAGCTTTCCCTTCACTACTGAAATTTCCTATTCTGCTTTTTCCATACTTACCTATCATCTTCTAAATTAACATACTATATAATTACTATTTTTCAATCTTTCTGTCTGCTATCTGAATGGAGCTTCCACAAGGCAGAGATTTTGTTTTGCTTTTGAATGTTTCCCCACCATGCAGGAGTTTGGCACATAAATGCTAACAAGAATTTGTTGAATAACTGAGACAAAGTCTGCAAGAGTCAGAATGTTTGTATTGACTGATAGGAGTGCTAGGGCTTTAACCAAAGCCTCATGCATGTTAGGTAAGGCCTGCATTGAGCTACACTGTCAGATCAGTGTTCACATTTAATTGCTTAAAAAAAGAAAACAAAAAAACCCCTTTCATAACAATTTGTATGTCAGGGCTTGGGTAGAGCTCTGGTAGAGCGTGTGCCTAACATGCATGAGACCCTGGGTTGAATCCCCAGCAGTGAGAAAAATCTAACTGCCAGTCAAGATTTTTTTCTTTTACAAAACTTATGTATCTCAATTGAATTATTCAGATTTACCCCTCTTTAACACATTCAATAAATGCCTAAGACATGCCAGGTACTGTGCTAAATGTTGAGAACCAAGATTAATCAGACCCTGTCCTTTCCAGGGGCTCACAATAAAAGAAACAACTTTTTTTTAAAGGAGAAATGGAAGATTAGTGCTTTATACACAGAATACTACATTAAATTCAGCTCCTTTCCCCTCTCAGTAGTAGGAAAACTACTGGTCTCAGTAAAGTAACTAGACATTATAGGTGCAGTACAAGCATGGAATAAGATGGGCAGGATTTAAGTTTTAGACAAAAAGGTCACAGATTGGAAATCTCTTCTGCAGACAGAAGACTCTTATGTAATAAAGTTAGTTTGACCTGAAGGCTAATAGCCCAGATGACTTCAAAGATATGAGAAGCAGTATGTAAATGTTAGAAGAGTCCAAAATCAGTGATAACCCTGAAATTTCAAGAAATATAAATTTGAATTTAAAAATCAGTAGTAATTACTTTTTTTAAACTATTGACTTGTCCACATTTCCTGCCTCTGCCATGGCAAATACCTTTTGTATGTAACACCTATAAATGCCCTGCCACTCCTCCCTGTCTGGTAACAGCAACCAGGGTTCATAAATAGATGACACTCACTTGAGTCGCAGGTCAGAGTCCCTGGAATCCTTTAGAACAGATGTGACAGGATTACAGAAGCGTACTTTCTCCTGCTTTTCAATGGTTCAGGAAGTTCTCTGAAATCCACCACTTGTATCTCTCTTAGTGGTCTAAGAGCAAAAAATTAGATGTTTATGCTAACTGAAACCAATATTTACAATATTGTAAGCAGAAACAATACTATTGCTTTAATATATTCTAAGGAAAAGCAATAGTATTAAATCTTTTAATACTACAAGATACTTAACAACTGAAATTTACCAAGTAAAGCTGGGATTTTTATCTAGACCCAACTGAATCCTAAGGTCTGTCATATCAAAGGTTTACAAATCAGTAACCTGCAGGTGTTTTAAGGATCTTACAACATTTTGACTCAAATTCTGTCTGATCAAATGCTTTTTTATATTGTATAAAATTATATATAAAATTTTATAATTATGTAATTATAAAAATACTAAAGATACAGGTAAAATTGAATACTCTAAGGTATTAAACTTGTACTGAGGTCTATCTTGTTTTTCTGAGGAGCCCTGTACTTGTATTTGATTTCTTCATTCAGATAGTAGCACACTTGACAAGTCACTTTAAATTTTTCAGAAAACATAGAAAAAAGAATGTTTCTCTTTATATCTACCTATCTTCCTACTACCTAGAAATCACTAATATTTCACATCTATTTTTAGACTTGCTTAAATGTATACATACAGATATATGTTATTCTTTATAGAATAAAGGGTATTTTTTCATTATTATTTTATTGGTACATTTTAGATATACATAACATTCATTATAGAAAACTTATATCTGTACATGATATATTGTGCTGCTTTTTTCCCCATTCCCATCCTAGAATAAGGGCTTTTTAAATGGAATCAAACTATGCCTAATTCTGTAAAGTTTTCATCTCAAATGTAATGTCAGTAACTTCAGTTGCTGCATAGAACTGTATTAATGTTTCATCACTTGGTTGGATGTCTGGATTATTTCCAATTTTTACTAATATAAACAGGATGATGATAAATATCATACATGCAAAGAAATTTAGGCCAGCACATAAACATTCATATAAACCAGTGTACTAGAGCACAAGTACATCTACAAAAGTTCAGGTCAGGTGTGTTTGCTCAAGAATTCTCTGATCGGGCCGGGGATTTAGCTCAGTGGTTTCACCGTCTGCTGCGCAAGCGCAAGAACCAGAGTTCGATCCCCGGTACCAAAAAAAAAAAAGAATTCTCTGATCACAAACTAAGAAATTGTGAGGGAACAAGTGAAGGAGATATGGTGCTGTCATAATGTCTTAGGCCTGTTTTAAGTACTTTGGGGGTAGAGATCTCATATCTATAAGTTTGCAGAAAAGCAATTTTAATGTTTTATGTATTTAGTATTCCACACATACTTTCTCCAGGAAGAAAAATCTGCTAATATCATAGCATATAACCTATCTTACAAGGAAATAAGAGTTCTTGAAATTAAGTGCTAGTCACATTTAAAAAAAAAAATCTAGTTTGAAGAATGCAAAAGTGATTTGTTTTTCATGCAGGTATGTGAAATCTTTTACAAACTTATGATGGACTATTGGCCACAGTGAGAATTTACACCAGAGAATCAACTAGCTGTTTGTGCAGTACAGCATTCATCAAATAATTATGGAGCATGGGGGATAGGATATGGGATTAGAAAACATAAAGGCTGGAAAAAGCAAATGTCATCCTCAAAGACAATCAAATATTTTCAGTCTAAATATGTAAAATACTCATAAGTAACTTACACAATTTCAAGCAGATAAACTGTAAAATTAATTCATACAAAGAAAAAGCTTTGGATTTAGAGTTCTAAGAGCTCTGCACTGCAGCAGGCTTGGGGGGGAGATTTGTAACCTGGAAATCTCAATTTTCTTATCTGTAAATTAGAGATATGCCCTATTTACCTAGCCTGTTTAAGGATCAAATAAGATTAAGCATTGAGTACATGCCCTTACCAAGACCTATTAATATTGCTCATTTCTTCCAAGTTTTCCTCTTCTTCTTGGAGTTTTTTAAAAATGAAAATCTAGTTATTTCTGTGCCCCAGACATTTACTGGAATTTAAGCAGCTACATTTTGAGATAACCTGGCTCAAAACAGCTTATTTCTAACAAACTTTAGAAAGTTTTTAATAAAAACGCAGTTACAGTAGTAAGATAGAATTCATTATTTGTTACCTTATTACAGAAACAGCATCTTATACTTCTGGCTCCTATATTTTATTTTTAATTTATTACTTTTTAATCTAGTGATTTTGTAAGTATGGAACAGCAATGCAATACTCTTTATGTCACTTACCAAAGAGAAAGAGCACTATGTTATTTATATGGTAATTATCCTGAGATGCTTTCCAAAATGAAAGCCAAGAAATAGATAATGTTGACAGACATATAATAAAAGAATAAGTAATTTACACTTCATTAAAAACCCAGTATTTTTGGACATCGGAACTTCGATATATATTACCTTTTGAATTTGCATACTGAAGACAGATCACACACATAGTACAAAACGCAGAACATGACAGAAAAGACTGCACACTGGTCAGCTTTCATCTTTACAATACGGGTTTTCATTAGCACGGTAGGGTTAATGGATAATTAATAATCATTAATGGAGTTTGTTGTATCTTCTGTTTACAATGATAAAACAAAAGAAAATCTACCAAGCTATTATGTCCTTGGAAAAATATGGTCCTAGTTTTGAGAGAAGAATTTGGCCTCTGGTTATTTTCTTGTGACAAAGTCATTGAATGCTAGCAGTGGGCGTCATGACAGTCTCAGATAAGCCAGGAAAGACCAAGAGGTAAAAAACTTTTAGGCAAACGAATAAAGTAGCCAAAAGGATTAGAAAATAACTATTTTACTCTTACATAAGAATGCTCTCCTAGATAGTTCTATAGTTGCTTTTCATTTGGTTTTCTGGTATTTGCTTATGAATGCTTTCTTTTTAATAGAGGACAAATAACAGCAATACCAATAATTCTGTGAGAATGAATAGGCAAAGTTTTGGAAGTAGAAAGGTCAGAATTAAAAAATTTAGCTAAATATAGGCTTAATACAAATCTTGCATCAAAATCAAAAACCAAAAGTGCTTCTTAACAGAGATGTTAGCAGACTGAACCCTGGACAAATCTAAATTGGAAAATGGCCTAATATTAAATTTTTTAATTTCAAAGATATTTTATTTATGTATGCATAAACCTATGTTTTAGCTAAGAAAAAAGTGTAAGTTTAATTTTTAAAAACCACAAAATGTTTATGGGAATGAGACTTTGTGCTGTAAACCAACTATCTTGAAACTCACAAATTATTTTTTTACCCACTTATCATAAAAAACTAGTTCTCAGATTCTGCATACAGACAGCTTTATGTAAAATATATAAACAGTTGTCCAAATTGGTACACAGATTGCATAAATATGGCAGTTAAGATTGCATTTACAGATGTGCATGTACAATGTGCAAATTACAATATTACAATTTCAAAAATTATTAAATTGGTATCCAAGAAACGCAATTAGTGAAAAAATACCCATGCAGAATTTAAATATCTCAGAACAAAATTTAAAATGTCTTCATTAAAAGTTCACACATTTAAAATAGTTTTATTCATTTTATTTGTATATGTCAAAATACATTTTTATGTCCAAAATAGTGGGTTTTGCAACTAGTTTCATGCAGAAACAAGGTCTGCTCAATACTACCAATAAAATCAATATAGCACAGTAGCTGTTCAGTTTTAGATACAAAGAATAAATAACCTAAATACAAAACACTAAAATATTAGAAACAAGTATTTAATCATTCTTCACAGGCACCCAAACTTCACAAATATAAACCATAGCATGCCTAACTGTTGTGCAACCAGGATATGTTGCAGTCACTCAAGCTGGTCAATTATTTGTACATTTTACCTCCACATTAGACCATAGAAATTCTCTATATTTAGACCCACCATTCATACAGTTCAAATATAATCAAAAATATAATCCCACAACTATCCTTGTACCTTTAAAATCAAGAATCCTGAGCTTGGTAGTAAGAGCATAACCTTATATCTTCATAAAACCAATCAAGAGAGAGGACTTAAAATCCTGCTTACCAAAACACCCTTTTCCCAATCCCAAAGTAATCTAAAATAGGCAGTAGAACACAATGACCTTTTAAAATGAAGGGGTACAAATTCACATTTAATATAGTATACAATACACTCAGTAATACAATCAGCTACTATAAGCTTTACAATGTACAATTTATTCAAATGGCTGAACTGTTCAGTGGTTAAGGAGACAGTTATGTGCCAGAAGTATTATTTTTTGCATGGTTTAATGAAAATATAAAAGCTATTTGTCCAAATAAAAGCCTTCTTCACTATGTACTTGGTTTTACTTTTTTCCCCTTAAAAAAGGCCACTGAAATGTATAAAATGGTCTGAACATGATGGTGGTATCAAAGTCAATGCCTCTTCACATGGCAATAACAGTGCATTTAACACTAACTCAAGGTTAAGTCTGCAAATAATTTCATAGTGTCACTTTGGCTAGCACAACAGTTTTAGACAGCATTCAGATAAATATAAGTATGTGAAATGTGAAGCAATTATCTTATACAATTTTAATTATGGTTGAATACTATCAAATTAAAAAAAGTAAAAGCACTTTACAGTAGAAAATTTTTGTAAAGATAGGGCTCCTCAAAATGTGTAACTTTTAAAGTCTTCATATCACATAGTTTTAGCAAATTTTGTTTTTAACACTATCATGGAGTAGCCTACTTTGCATTAACAGACATTTGAAATAAGAAAATAGTGAAGCATGCCATGTGATGGTCTAAAAATCAACACAATACACTTATTTATATATACAGCATCACTTAGTACCTACTAAAATGAATGTGAAGATTACAGAATCTAACATGTTATACTACAATAAAAAACAAAAAGTGACCAATGAAGACAGAATAGGACTTAAAAGATCTAATCTCAATTGACTTTAAAGCATTCATATAAGAAATAAATGCATATTGCACAAACAGTGAAAGCAAATATTCCACCAAGCAATTCAGTTCCAGGTGGGCAACAATACATTAGCCTAATACATGACAATAATCTCATAAGAGCAAGTTTGTTTTTTCTGTAAATGAGAAAGCTGTAAAAACATAGAGGACTCTGCCACATGAAGAGTTAGAAGGAAAGATACAAACCCAAACTCAGATGTAAAGAAAAAAAATTAAATATTGAAAA